GTCCTGGTTCCCATCTCACCTGTGCAGGTGTTGCACCCCCAGGTGCTCACAGATATCCTTCTGAAATGCTTTTTTTTCCCCATAAAAGGTTCTTTTCCTTGCAAAACCGTGTGGAATTGGAAATCCCAGTACACTCTGTTTAATGTTTCTTTGTTTTTCCTGGTGAGCTCAAACCACACCAGAGAGAAACCAAACCCAAAGCCTCAACAGTGACAAATCAGTGCAAAGCCTTGTTTGCTGTAATATTAATTGTAAATTTTTGATTTTGTAATAGATTTTTAGGATTGTAAAGAACTCAAATGACCTTCAGAATTCCCAAGCTTTCCTCCCTCATTTCTTGGGGCAAACAAGTCACTCAAGGTCATTTCTTTGACAAATTTTGGGCTTGAATAGCTCAACAGTCCCTTTAGGAATTCTTCCAGCCTGGCTGGGGTTGGATATTTCCTGGGATTCAGGGGAGGTGTAAAATAATACTTGATTTATCTGTATTTTAACTTCCTAACTCCATCTCAAATCCCTGGGAGCAGAGTGGGACTTGGAGTGTGTGACATCCCAGCTGGCTCATGGAACACCTGATTTCCCTGCAGTGCCACCCAGGAGGGTTTGGGATGGATGTGCTGGATTCCCTGGGAATCCCACAAGCTCCAGGATGAGGGGGCAGGGGTGGTGCCCTGGGAATCTAATCTGGGGTTGGATTGGATATTAGGAGAGATTTGTCCATGGAAAGGGTGGTCAGGCACTGGAATAGCTGCCCAGGGCAGGGGGGCAGTCCCTGTTCCTGGAGGGATGTAAAATCCATGTGGATGTGGCACCTGGGGACACGGGTCAGTGCTGGGGGATGGTTGGACCTGATGCTCTTGGAGGCTTTTCCAGCCTGCAGGAATCTGTGGTTCTGGGATTTCCTTCCCCCCTCTGGAGCTCAGCCCATTTCCCTGGACTGTGCTGAGTCCCTCAAGCCCCACATTGTCTTTAACTCTCCTTTTCCATCACTGTTTCACCTGTTAAGATCACGGAATCATGGAATGGTTTGGGTGGGAAGGGACCTTAAAGCTCATCCCGTCCCACCCCCTGCCACAGGCAGGGACACCTTCCCCTATCCCAGGTTGTTCCAATCCCTGTCCAGCCTGGCCTTGGACACTCCCAGGGATCCAGGGGCAGTGCTGGGTGACAGTTCTGGGTGTCCCCAGTGTCACCCACAGCACCCCAGCCCTCCCTCCCTGTGCTGGATCAGCGTTGTCCCACCATGGGCTGTCCATGGGAGCAGTTCCCTGCCTGGAGCTGCTCCTTGCTCAGCTCCCAGCAGTTATTTGCTGCTTTTCCCGTGGGATTTTTGCCTTTTTACTGAAACCTTCTCTGTGGGGAGGGAAGGAGCCCAGCCCTGCAGGTGGATGTTTGGGCAGCTGTGCCCTGGCTGTGGCTGGGCTCCTTTGGGGCTGTGGGAGCTGGGATGGGATAACGGGGGCAGGGCTGGCAAATCTGCACTTTGACACCCAAAAATGGGAGCCCAGACTTAAGCGAGACACCCAATTGCTTGTCTGGGGGTTGATCTGCTCCCAGCCCAGCACCACTCAGGGGAAGGTTTAAAAATAGAACCCGAGTCCTGAGCGAGGCTCATAATCCTGTTGGCTCTGTCTGATGCCTTGAGATTGTAAAAAATCCCATTAAATCAGTGGAGTTGCTCAATGTGGGAATTTTCACCTCTGCTCCAGATGTGGGGAAGGATGGAAAGGCATCCCAGGCAGTGATTTAGTGCTGGGTTTGGCTCTGCACGACAACCACAGCAGTTCCTAAAGCTCCTTTTTAAAATCTGAACAGAAATAACGGGAAATTCTGCAATAAAAGTAATGACCAGGATGGGCTGTAATGTTCTGTTCCTGCCTATTCATAACTCAGGGAGAAGGAATAAAAGCTGGAGAGGGGGTGTTTGAGCAGGGCTCCTTATGGATTAGGGATGCCAAGTGTGGCACTGTGAGCTGGGATTGGAGGGTTCAGCTCTAGATGGCATTTTATGGCTTTGTTATGTGGCTGTTAATGGTGGGACACTGTGGGTGACACTGGGGCATCAGGGACACCCAGAACTGTCCACCCAGCACTGCCTCTGGATCCCTGGAAGTGTCCAAGGCCAGGTTGGACAGGGTTTGGAGCAACCTGGGCTGGTGGAAGGTGTCCCTGCCCATGGCAGGGGTGGCACTGGATGGGCTTTAAGGTCCCTCCAGCTTCACCCTCTCCTGGTGGGTGATGCAGTGGGTTGGTGGCACAGCCACCATTCCTGTGGGTGGCCAGTGGTTTTCCAGGGCCTGGATCTGTGATTGCAGTAAAATATGTATTGGAAATAATCCCCCCCCTCCTCTGCCAGTGCTGGGCTCCCACCTCTGGCACGGCCCCGTGGCTGGAGCGGGGTTTGCCTGGTGAGGTGGGTGGTGCAGAGCACTGGGATGTGGGATATGGGGTGTGGGATGGTGTGGGGTGTGGGATATGGGGTGTGGGATACGGGGTATGGGATGTGGGATGCTGCAGGGGTGTCTCGGTGATGGTCATCCCAGCAGTGATCCCAGAATCCCAGACTGGTTTGGGTGGGAAGGGACCTTAAAGCCCATCCTGTCCCACCCCCTGAGACCTTCCCCTATCCCAGGTTGCACCAACCTGGCCTTGGACGCTTCCAGGGATGTCCCCAACCCCTCTGGGCAGCCCATTCCCTCTCCCAGCCTGCTCCTGACCCCCTTCCCTGCCTCTGCCTCTCCCTCCCCAGTCCCGGCAGACCCCGGAGGGCGAGTTCCTGCCTCTGGATCAGCTGGAGCTGGACGTGGGCTTCAGCACCGGGGCTGACCAGCTGTTCCTGGTGTCCCCCCTCACCATCTGCCACGTGATAGACTCCAAGAGCCCCTTCTACGACCTGTCCCAGCGCAGCATGCAGACAGAGCAGTTCGAGATCGTCGTCATCCTCGAGGGCATCGTGGAGACCACGGGTGAGTGTGGGGGGCACAGCCCCCGGGGCTGGGCTGGGAAAGGGGGGCTCCAGGGCCTGGGGGCAGGGAGGGGAACTGCCTGGGTGGGACACTGGCTGTGTACCGGCAGGAGGAAAATAATAAAAGGGAAAAGAAAAGGAAAAAAAATAAATAAAAAAGGGGGGCAAAAAGGGAAAATGGAAAGGGAAAAAAAATGGGAGAAAAAAGAGGAAACAAAAGGCAAATAGAAGGAACAAAAAGCAGGGGGGAAGGAAACAAAATAAAAACCCCCAAGGATTGCAGAAGGGAGAACAATCCAGCCCCTCTTCCCAGGTAC